AGGGCCGGCATCAACACCTGACCGTTTGCACCAGGTGACTTCTTTGGTGCATAAAAGAAATACATTGGTCAATGTTTGCTTGAATGCACAAGGAGAGATTCTAAAATGTTGAAGTCTATTCAAGCATCGAAGAGGAAGTGGTTTTTAAGTTATAGACTTACACACAGTCAAACGGATATATATATATATATATATATATATATATATATATATATATATATATATATATATATATATATACATGTGCGTATGTCCGACTAAGATAGATTGGAAATAAGTAGACAAAAATGGTTAATACAATTTGCCTTTTGTTTGTTAAAAGAAAATGCTTCACACACACACACACACACACACACACACACACACACACACACACATATATATATATATATATATATATATATATATATATATATATAAAAAATATAGTTTTAAGGTGTGCTATATTTATGGGATAAAGTGCTCAATATCAGAGATAGAGCGTATGTAAATATAAATATAAAAGTGAACATTAAAGTCAACACTCAGAGGCGACACGCTGTTTCATGCTAGACGCAATCTTCAGGCCTAATATATATATTTATATACAGATATATATTGAGGACTTTACCCCATAAGCACACCTAAAAACTATATTTCTTTATATATATATATGTGTGTGTGTGTGTGTGTGTGAGAGAGAGAGAGAGAGAAAGTGTGTGTGTGTGTGTGTGCAAAAAATCAAGATATAACTAAAAATATATCTGTAAAAAGAAAATATCTGTAAAGACAAAAGGAAAAATTAACATGGCCCACGCGTTTCGTCATTTGGTAGACCTTAACAAGGCCAATGTGGCTTGATAATTTCCACTAGAAGACGAAACGCTTCTTTTAATGTAAGTTTCCTTTTGTTTACACACACACCTACACACAAAGACACACACATACACACACACACATATATTGACATTGAGGCTAACACCTAACGACGACAGCTTTTTTCATGCATAAACACAATCTTCTTGCAATGACGGCTGCGTTTAAGCTGGAAAGAAAGAGACTAAGTGTGGATCGCAATGACCGTTTTTATATTTACAAAATATAGCATACTTTAAACCTCTACTATTATCACGCACTATATATATATATATATATATGTGTGTGTGTGTGTGTGCGTGTGCGTAGAGAGAGAGAAAGACAAACAGAAAGAAAAAAAATGAAAGAAAGAATGAAAGATTGAAATTATTTTCTTTTTTATACTTATACTTTATACTTATCACTAAATTCTTTATACTTATCACTAAATCTAAACACCGTCTCTCTCTCTCTCTCTCTCTCTCTCTCTCTCTCTCACACACACACACACACACACACACACACACACGCACTCTTTCGGTAAAGATTTTATAAATATATTGTTTGTAAATTTACGCCAATTATAAGGGAAGAATACTTGTGTATAGATATAAGCAATGATCATGTGAGTCAACACAGCATTATGATTGTCAGTTCACGCCTCAATGTGATTTTCAGACCAAGTTATTTTCTTTTTCAAACAACATCGTTAAGTATATAATAAGTAAGGTAACATGGTCTGATGGTCATCACACCATACAGTCGTATGGTCTGATGATCGTTTAAGGCATTATAGCAGTCACTATGCAGGGTTGATTTACATGTTCGCATTCTAACTTCCTTGATATGGAACACTCTTCCACCATAAATATATAAAATTTTAAACTATATATATATATATATGTTTGCTCTATCTCTGATATTGAGCGCTTTCTAATAAGTACCGCGCATATAATATATAAATAATTATACATATATATATTTATTTATATTTATATACACTTTTCACACACACACACACACACACACACACACACACACACATATATATATATACATACATATATATATATATATATATATATATATATATATATATATATATATTCCATTGACATCTTCCCGATGAGTCCTTTCGTGAGAGCAGATGGTTCATATAATGTCATACAATGACTTGCAACTGAAATTTATTTAAGTGAGAAAGGTTTGTGCATTCCCAGTGCCACTCTCTTGTCCAATGTATCTGTTTTGTGGTTCAAAGGCTGCCACGCGATAAGCGGCGTGAAAGGATGCAGGTTATATTTCAGAGTGAACTTCACCTCCAGAGTCCCTATCTGTCCATCATATTTTTGCCTTCACAGTTTTCCTTCTCCTAGACCAGTTGCCACACAAGGCTATAGAACCCAGTCTGTCCTGGTATTTACCCATTTGTGGGGAGAAAAGAAGCGGATTCATACCTTTCCCAAGATTAACAGCATGTAAATGAATGTAATGGATCCGACTGGAATTCGAACTATACATAACACTACCGTGCCTCCCATATATATATATATATATATATATATATGATTGGTGTATAAGGAATACATTCCAATAACCAAAAATACCATTCTTAACAGCACACGTGGCCTGACGATTGCATCTAGCATGAAACAGACAGTCGCCTCTAAGTGTTGACTTCTATGCTCACTTTTATATTTACACACGCTCTATCCCTGATATTGAGCACTTTATCCCATAAATATAGTACATCTTAAGACTATATTTCTTCAATATTCATATTTATATATATATATATATATATATATATATATATATATATGTGTGTGTGTGTGTGTGTCTGAATGTATGTGTGTTGGTGTCTTTACATAAAAAAAAGTTCATAGCCGGTGGCATACATTTTTATCAGTTTCATTAATATATACGGTCCAATGAAAGATATTCTTTTAAAACGTTTGTGTGGAAAATGAATGATTTTTTTTCATTGTCTGTCTCCGTAGTTATTGATGTAGTCACTCATCTATAAATAATCAATGCGCTTCTTTTAATCTGAGTATATTTCTTATTGCTTTAAACGTTAATTTAGTAGGCACTCGTGTTTCATTAAAGATCAACGTTTATGTACAAACACTGAAATTAACGTCTACCTTTCTAAGTTTTATTAACGGCAATATACATCGCAGAAAGAATCGAAACTGCATTACTCATTTCTCTGCGAATCTGCCTGACCTATACGTGTTGTGATAGTGATTTTCCAAGTGTAGCTCAGATGTGGCACAAGGCCGAAATTGTGGGGGACCCAGTGAGGATACGTGTTGTTACGACAAGTACCTCCTTGTTCGAAACGCTAAGATTTGTATAGCCTAAATGGATTTTCAAAAGGAAAATGGGAATTCAGGTTCCACTCTTTCGGAAGTATAGTTTCTTTAAAAAGACTTTCGATTATTTGCGCCGGTAGATTCCTTTGTCATTCTGCACCTCATGAATTCGACATAAACTGAGCCAAGAGGATTTATTATCCTGTACTTTTTAATTCGGCAAATTTTATTGGTAAATCACTATTATCATCGTTGTTGTCATGATATATAATAATTAACCCCATGACCGGTTGTCGTTATAGGTTTGCTATACAACTGGACGCCTGACCAGCTTTCTTTCTCTTTATGTTTCAGCTGTGAGTCAATGTCTAAATCTCCGTAAAGAGTCTTCCAGACCCCGCTCAGCGACGCTGTCAGTTCATTTTTTCTCCCCTTCCACCTCGTAGGTTAGTATTAGAAACATGTTGGTGTTTTTTTCTGACATGCTTATACCTTTTCAGCTTCCTTTTCCTGACGGTACTTATGAGATTTTTTTCTTGTTTCTTGTCTGAAAATATCTTGCAATGTGCCTTTTGTGTTGTGGCCTCAGTCGGAGAGGATAGTTCCGTAGAACGGCATTTTTACTGCTTGCAGTTTTTGTTTTGGTTAAGCATCATAGCGATAAAATTCAATCAAAATTGTACAACTAAAAGGATTTTTGGTTGACTGAATTTGTTTAGCAGCATATCAACCTTTATGGGTTATTTAATGCCGAAATCTAAATACCCCGCACGCAATTTTATGCTTTCAGCTACAGAAACCCAGGACATTCTTTTATACGCTCGGGGTAAATGTATGTGTTTTAGGTGTATAGTTTGTAGTTCATAAAATATTTTGTAGGCAATTTTATTATAAAAATGTATTTTTATTTTAAATGTATTTTTATTTTGTGTTCTTTGTTTTGGTTAAACATTGTAGCGATAAAATTCAATCAAGGTTATACAACCGAAAGGATTTTTGCTTGGTTAAATTTATTTAGCGGCATATCAAACTCTATGAGTTATTAGGTTGGTGCAAAAAATAATTTCGTTTTCTAACATATGTTACTATGTAAGAAAACGAAATTATTTTTGCACCAACCTAATATTTAATGCCGAAATCTAAATACACCGCACGCAATTTTATGCTTTCAGCTACAAATATATTGTACATTCTTATTTACTCTCGCGGTAAATGTATGTGTTATAGATATATATTTTGTAGATCATACAATGCATGGTAATTTTACTATAAAAATTGTTCTAGTTCCACGTTCCATGTTTAATGTTTGTCAATTAACAGTTATCTCCAGTTAATTCACTTCTGCAAGTTCACCACTGCATTAACCAGGTATTGAACCCACAACTTTTGGGTCCTGTCACTGGATCTAACCAACGCATTTAAGGACACGTGGCACAGTGGATATGCCATGCCTCTTCTGGATATCTCAGTTATTTGCGTTTATCCCAACTCTCCAAGGTTTTCTTCATCACGACTGCTGTAACCTGGTATTAAACCCACAAATCTTTTGGGTCTAGTCACTGGATCTAACCAACGCCTTTTATCCACTGGGACACGAGTCCTTGGAACTAGAACAATCTATCCTTGTGGACGAAATAAAGTGTACGGTTTGACATTCCAACTACCTGAAGAAGGCCGGAGCGTACAACGGCCGAAACTTTGTGATAAATATGGCAACAAAGATGATGAGAATAGTCCAAATAATGTAAATAGTGTACATAATACCTCATCTCAGAAATATAGATACTTCTATAAAAATATATTTTTATATTTTTTTAGTACTGTGTTGAATTTCATATTGCCATAACAATGTATTTTTCATATTGTCATAACATTGTATATTTTTTCATAGTTTGTTTCATTATCTATCTCACTTTGTTTATTATCTATCTATCTATCTATCTATCTATCTATCTATCTATCTATCTATCTATCTATTCCAGTTTGTTCATTATCTATCTATCTATCTATCTATCTATCTATCTATCTATCTATCTATTCCAGTTTGTTCATTATTTATCTATCTATTTCAGTTTGTTCATTATCTCTCTCTCTCTCTCTCTCTCTCTATCTATCTATCTATCTATTCCAGTTTGTTCATCTATCTATCTATCTATCTATCTATCTATCTATCTATCTATCTATCTATCTATCTATCTATCTCTTAACTTTCCCGTCAGTGTCGATATATGAGCGGCAAGTGACTCAGTCCTTAGTACCGAACATCCAGACTAGGCGCACATATTATTTGATTATAGTGGTGAAGACGTATGCAGAAGAAACCTTAGTTTTTCTTCTCCAAGACTGGTTGATAAGCAAATCTATAGGGTCCAGTATGCCATGTTATTTAGCCGAAGCTTAAGGGGGGGTGGAGATAAGGAATCATACCTTCGCCAAATGATGTTTGCGCAGAAGTGAATATAACGTACTCAACTGGAATGCGAACCCTGATCTCCGATTACTCATGTATTTTTCATATTGTCATGACAATGTATTTTTTTTTCATTATAAAAATATACTGCATGCTATTGCTTTAGGGTTAACTATTTGACCCTAGCTGGGACCCTAACAGAAGGGGCCAGGGAACAACATCAGCTAAGAGGTGATTCCCCGCTCCTCAAAATCTCCCGATCAGAAGCCTTACTACTGGATTTCGTTTATCGTCATACCCAGCACTCATGACTGAAAGGAAGAAAGCTAGTTCCGGTTACAGAATACTAGTTATAAAATGACAATGACAAAAAGGATTGTCTTGTGAAAGAGCGGAAACAATCGAATACTTTTAAGGTTGGTTTATTTTTATTAGCTCGGGATTTTCTCGTTCATAGTTCCCTTTGGCTAGGTGAAAATCACACTACGTCTTTCTTCCTACTTAAAGAAATGAAACGTCATTGATTGAACGATTTTCAATGCCCTTTTGTTTTATTCGCCAGAAACAAGGAAGTGAAAAACTAAACTGTTACGTGATATCTGTTTTCCTGTATAGCAACGAATGCTAGACAATTTCCCCAAAGATGAATAATACACATGAAGCATCAGAAATCTGGTTCTACAGAAGAATGCTGAGGATACCATGGACCAAACATGTGAGCAACGACGAAGTTTTAGAGAAAATAAAACCAAAAAGAACACTTATACTTAACATCAGGAAGAGGCAGTTGAAATTTCTGGGGTACGTAATGACGAAGGAGGGCTTGGATTTTCTGATATAGATTATATGAATTTATTTATTTTTAAATAATAATGATTTCTGATACACATTCTACTAATTAACCTATAGCGGGGGAGAAAGAGTTGCATTTTTATCTTTTCTAAAGGTATTTGTGATTAAGTGAACATAACGAAGTTGAATTCTCTGGGACACATAATGAGGAAAGAGGGCCTGCAGAGTCTGATACTCACGGGTCGAATAGAGGGGAAGAGAGACAACGTGTGACATACCAAGCGGGCTTGAGCAAGTGGATGACAGAACGTGATCTGGGGGAGGAAGCAGAGGGGAGGAACTTGCTGAGAGCTGAAAGGGATAGAAGGAGGTGGAGAGCCATGATCGTCTACGTCCTGAAAGGACATGGCACATAAAAAGAAAGAAAAGAACGAAGCCGACAGGGTTTGGAAGTCGGCTTTTCAATTACCAAATCCAAGATGTTATCAATTAAAACCAACCGCGAATCCAAGTTTACAATACTTGGTATCCGTAAACGGTCACCCAGATAAACTATTGCGATAGTCATATTTGGTGCCAGCAATCATTTCTAGGTTGCGCCAGGTAATTGAGAAATTGATATTTTTTTCTATTTGATATCTTTTTTTTTTCGCCATTATATTCTACATTCAAGTAAAACAAAGATTCAAAAGAAAAACTAATTTTTGACAAATGATATATGCATAGAATTAACAAATATTATAGATGACTGAATATACTCGACTTTAGTTCGAGGTTTTAGGGTTCATTTTTTACGCAAAAAATGGCGGTCGCAGAATACGCAGGTAATTTTTTTCGATGAGGTTAAAAATCATGCAGTCTCGCAGACCGGTTGCACTATATGCATATATAATAGATGAACTCGCCTTATACATGAGTATATACGGTATTCAAGACAATAGGAACAAGGACAACCTCGTTGATCCTCGGAAGTGACTATATTTTATGAATATTTATAGATATATGTATATTCAAAATGCATCTATGTCATTAACCATTATATACTTGATCTATCTATCTATCCAAGTATTTTCACATCTATTAATCCAATTTTTTTCATATCTATCGATCTATCTATCTATCTATCTATCTATCTATCTATCTATCTATCTATCTATCTATCTATCTATCTCAATCTGTTTATGTCTATCTATTTATCTATCTATCTATGTATTTCAGTTTGTTCATTATCTATCTATTTCAGTTTGTTCATTATCTATCTATCTATCTATCTATCTATCTATCTATCTATCTATCTATCTATCTATCTATCTATCTATCTATCTATCTGTTCTGAACTTTCCCGTCGTTTTCGATATATGAGCGGCAAGTGACTCAGTCCTTAGTACCGAACATCCAGACTAGGCGCACATATTATTTGATTATAATGGTGAAGACGTATGCAGAAGAAATCGTAGTTTCTTCTCCAAGACTGGTTGATAAGCAAATCTATAGGGTCCAAGTTATTGAGCCGAAACTTAACGGGTGGGTTGGAGATAAGGGATCATGACTTGGGCAAATGATGTTTGCGCGGAAGTAAATATATCGTACTCATCTGGAATGCGAACCCTAATCTCTGATTACTCATTCCAAAATCATATCGATTACACACACCTATCTCTCTCTCTCTCTTCTATCTCTCTCTCTCTCTCTCTCTCTCTCTCTCTCTCTCTCTCTCTCTCTATATATATATATATATATATATATATATATATATATGAGAATTAATATTGTTTGCTCATATTCGAATTTTATAAAGACAATGCATATAGATAATTGGCCATAAGCATTTCTTTCATTCTTTCGTTCTTTCTTTCTATCAATCTATCTGTCTATCTGGCTATTGCTTTATCTCTCTCTCTCTCCATCTCTCTCTCTCTCTATATATATATATATATATATATATATACATATATATATATATATATATATATATATATATATATATATATATATATATATATATGTATGTCTGTGTGGGGTTATCTGTTTGGGTGGTTGGTCGTGTACAGTGACGAGAGAGAAGTAAAATTATGTTTTCTCAGATTTAAATTTTTATAAAATAATACATATAAGTAATCAAGCATAAACATTTCTGTCTCTTTATCTATTGCTTTATCTCACTCCCTCTATCTCTCTCTATATATAAAAATATATATATATATATATATATATATATATATATATATATATATATATATATATATATATATATATATATATATATGTATGTATGTAAGTAGGTATGTGTATATGAAAAGAGCAATTATGACGTATATTAAAGTTTAAATCATCTAAATCACCAATTACTGAATAAACCAGAATTATATTACATAAAGGGCCAATTATTGTATCCATCTTATCCTTTAGTTAATAAAGGGTGAATTTCGGGCGTGGAGATGTCGTGACGTAAATTATGCCATTTTAATCATAATTTGCTTTACAAACGAAATAAAAGAAAAGCCAAAAAAAAAAAAAAAATGAGATACATTTCTCGAACCTCTTTAAAAGATCAAGCAAATAACGTAGGCTTCACTCTAGATATTTTCGCTACCAATTTTATCTTTTCTTTTTGAAAAATTATCTATTCGCATGAATAGAAAGCAGTGAACACTTCCTTGAAGCAATTTTGCCGAAAAATAAATTAAACGATTCCATGTGATCGAATGACGGTACCGAAACCCCGACCCCTCGTTCGCTTTCACAACGTCATCAGCCCCTTGAGCGCTCACCTAAGTGGCACGGAATTTGATAAGTGGGTATATGACAGGGGAGAAGAACAAGAGTCGAAATTCGGATTTAATTGGCTAGATAAACTGGGAGATCTTTCATGGGAATAACTCGCTTGTCGGTTCTAACCCGGGATTTATTTGCTGAATTTGTAACGCTTAACGCTTATTGAAGCCTGTATTTCGATCAAGCCAAACGATAGTTCTCGCTAATATTGGCATTCTTGAATTCATTCGCACTCAATACAACTATGATGCATATAATTAAAGTAAAATGCCATCATAATGCCAATAATACGTATGCACACAATCACAAATAAACCCACAATAATATTACATATATATATATATATATATATATATATATATATATATATATTGAAACATATCATTAAATAATTTATAAGTTTTGTATTATTTTTATATATATTGAAACAATTTTGTTGGTGTCATTATTAAAGAATAATTACAGTGTTTTATATAATTTATTCTGAATACTTTCGACATTAGCACAATCTCATCATCATAGTTTTATTTTATATATATATATATATATATATATATTATAAATTATTTGATTTAAAATATTACAGTTTTCTTGTTTCAACCATGTTTCAAAATAGAAGCTAAAACCCTGAAGATTTTGCAAATAAATAATTAGTTTAATTTCATCTTGCAAAAAATAAAATTAGGGTTTTATTTTATATTTTGAAATATATAACTATATATATATAACATATTTAAATCATATTAATTTATTTTATATATACATATATATATATATATTGATATATATATATATATAAATATATATAAGAACAAATGATTATTTTACTGTTCTTTCTTTTATTTATATATATATATATATATATATATATATATATATATATATATATATATATATATATATCCAAATAAATTTTTGCGAAAATAATAGATTTTGCGGACAAAAGCAATGTATAATATATTAAATATATATATATATATATATATATATATATATATATATATATATATATATATTCCAAGTAAGTCTAAACAGTACAATGGCCGAAACGTTTTAATAAATATGGCGACAAAGATGAGGACAATAGTCCGAATAATGTAAATAGTGTACATTATACCTCATCTCAAAATATAGACTGATACTACTATAAAAATGTATTTTTATATTTTTTTACTGCTGCGTTGAATTTCATATTGCTGTAAAAATGTTTTTTTTTACTCATTTCATTATAAAAAAAGTTTTTAGGGTTAACTATTTGACACTAGCTGGGGGCCTTAATTTTTTTTATTTAAGAAAGGGAGAAAATTACCGTGTTGGTACATATTATTTATTCCGACTATTTTCGACATTAACACAATGTCATCGTCAGAGGGTTGTTTTTTTTTTTTTTTTTTTTTTCAAGACAAATATTGTAGCGTTCATCATTTTCAAAAGACGGAAGCACGTCAACTGATTTCACTGGGAACTCGTGTGGTATAGAAATCATAACTTCTTGTATTCGCTGTTCAAGATCTTCCAATGTCTTCCTTTGGTATAACAAACTTTCTCCTTTTCTCACCCCCCGCAAAAAAAATGTCACAGGTTGCTCTATCAGGGACACCTGGCTGGCCAATCATACATAAAATAGAGGGCTACTTTTCTATCACCCCATACATACATACACAAACACACACACACACACACACACACACATACACACATATAATTTTCCATAGACAAAAACAATTTACTCATTAAAAAGATGCAACTTCGTCTCAGTGAATTTAAATTGCACTTCGACTGGTGAGAAACAAAATGGTTTCAGATGCGGGTTGATTACTAAGAGAATTGTTCATAACCATTTGTTACTCACCAGGTGAGGTGCAATTTAAATGCACTGAAACGAAGTTGCATCTTTGTAGTGAGTAAATTGTTCTTGTCTATATGAAAAAAATAAAATAAATAATTATTGCTCTACTATCGGTATCGAGCCCACTTTTGAATTAATGGTGTGAACATTAGACTTTATATATTATTTTTGTTCGCATTACATTCGGATATATATATATATATATATATATATATATATATATATATATATATATATATATATATATATATATATATATATATATATACGAGTGGACATTTATGATGTTAACAGTCTGTTTCATGCTTGAAAGCAATATACAAGACTTGAAGTTTACAAGCACATAAACAGTCTGTTAAAACTGTGTTGATTTCACTGTCGAATTTTATATATACATACGTTCTTTCCTGATAACGAAATCAATTTTATCCCATAAATATAGCGTATATATATAATTTTATCATATATATATATATATATATTTGTAGTAGAAGGCGACAGCCCGGAAGATTGAAGGCATTAATACGTTATACGCTCACAAACCTTCGAAGTCGGCATGAGTTAAGTGAGAAGTTTCACCTGAAATATATATATATATATATATATATATATATATATATATATATATAATAAAGAAGTAATGATTCTTTATTAATCTGGCTTATATCTATCTATCTATCTATCTATCTATCTATCTATCTATATATATATATATATATATCCGAAGGTAATGAGAACGGAAATAATAAAAATTCTAACGTTCACACGATTAATTCAAAAGAGTGCTCAATATCAAGAGCAGAGCAATAATTATTTATTATATATTCTTACATGTAGACAAAACAATTGTTTTTGTAAGCATATATATATATATATATATATATATATATATATATATATATATATATATATATATATATTCATTCCGGTTATCTCTAAACGTTTATTTCTATTTTATTTATTTATTTATTTTCTTAGACTTTTCGTAAAATTTTCATAAGTTTAGACGAAAACGACCCCGAATTGATTGAGTGGCTGATTTACTGACTGACCGATATGACAGCCCAACTGCTGTGTCTTATTTCCTCTCTTGTGGGTTACCGTCAATTGTTACATAATCTTTCTTAATCATAACTAGAGAAACTTACCTCTAAAGTCGAAGCTGTGGGTAGCTGAGACGAAGTCATTCGGTGCAATGTGTTAGTCAAGTGAATTACCAACAAAATGAACAAATATAACAAGCTTATTTTAATGATGACAGGGATATTCTTCTTCTTCTATGTGCTGTGTTAATTCCAGAAGTTGCCAATCATTTCCCTGTCCTTTGTAGGTCTTAATAATTTTTATCCTTTTATTATCTCTCCCGGTGTCCGTTATCAAGATCGCTAGGTAAGTTATGAGTTGCGTCTGTTCCTTTTCTTTTAATCTGTCATGTGAGCATCAGATTTTCCAAGCCCTCTTTCCAAGAAATTTCAAATTATGTTGAACTGTCCTTTTTGTTTACGTTTTCTCGAAACCTGTTCACATTTAAGAAAAATGGTATTGTCAACATCCTTCTGCAGAATTACGTTCCTAGTTTTTTCTTTATACTCCTGTATAACCGTAATATAGGAGGACTGATACACTATTAACATTATTCGGACTATTGTCCTCATCTTTGTCGCCAAATTTATTACAATTCAGGTCGTTGGAATGGACCCTTTTCACTCACTGGGTTCCATTG